GAGCCCTGTCTATGGCATTCTTCCACATCCTTTCTTTTCTATGTTCCCATTTACACCTAACCTGGTGTATTTCGTTGCCTTTAAACTTTTTTAAAAGTTTATTTTGAGAGAACAAGAGAGTGAGGGTGGGGTAGGGGTAGAGAGAAAGGGGAGAGAGAATCCCAAGCAGGCTGCATGCTGTCAGCACAGATCCCAATGCGGGGCTTAAACCCACAAACCACAAGATGATGACCTGAGCTGAAACCAAGAGTCAGACGATCAGCCAACTGAGCCACCCAGGCGCCCCTGCCTTCTTAATGTTTCTAAAATGTAATGTAGGTCCAAAAAATAAATCCATAGTTCTTTCAGCAAAATCCACTCCAGAAACCTAGGAATCAACCTTGATACTTTTCGTCTTTGGTTCCCAAAGTCAGTCCAGGACAAGTCATGTCAGTCTTACTTCCTAAACATCTCTCCAGTCCACTCACTCTTGTTTTCTCCACACCATTCTCAGAAATGCAGTCAGAGTGGTTTTTTTGGGCCACAAACCTGATCGTGTCCTCTTACGCCCTGCTCATGAAAACACTTCAGTTGCTTCCCATTGCTTTTATCATAAAGACCCAAATCCTTAGTGTAGCCTGTGAGGTCTTCCTTGATCTCTCAGCACCTCTGTGTTCTCAGCACCTTGCACAGCACTTTGCAAATAGCAGGAGTTCAGTAAATAGCTTTCAGCACTTACGCTCTTAGAACCTCAATTTCTTTTCCAGCTAAAGGGCAGTAAGGGGTTCAATTATCTCTATACTCTTTTCCTCTTCTAAAATTCTACAACTTTCATATGTTGTAGGGAAGAACCATAAAACTGAGTTGAAAAATGATAAATGCACACACTCTGATTTTCTCATTCCTTAAATCTTACTGGCTTCCTCCAAAAGCCAGCAGATGTATCCTCTTTCTTTACGGAAGGTGGAGTTCTTAATAAATGATCTTGCTTATGATTGTACTACACATGAGAATGCTCCCTCTGTGTGATCTGGCCATGAAAGGAAGTCTATCTCATATCTCCATCACAGAGCTCTCAGGACTCCCACAACCTCTCTCCTTACTAAGAATGGTGTCTGGTCTTAGTATGCGTCCTTCTCCAGCCTTTATATCCTAGACTTAGTAACAGATTCCAAGATCTACACAAATATTTCTGATCTCTGAAAGTTACATCAAGCCACGCATACCTACAGGTAATTCCTGGGTCTCAAACATCCCAAGGATGGCTCACTTTTAAAATTAGTCCATATTAACTCGAAGCCCAGAGATGCCTGGTGGCTTGTGCCACCCTTCTCTCAAGCAGCTTCAGGATCATTTCAGGTATCTCTCTCTTATTTTATATTACCAGACATCCGACAGCTATTCGTTCCTCTCCCTCTTTGTTATCACCTTCCCAACCAGCTTCATTTTTAAAACAAGCTCCTAACTAGCCTTACTGCATCGAGAACCTCCTCCTCCAATTCGCTTTATCAGGTAAACTTTAAAACTTTATAAGTTTTATCAGGTAAACTTTAAAAACACTGGTCTTATTTTATCATCATCCCACACAAATACTTTTAATTTTAATTTTTCCATAAGATAAAGACCAGACTCTCCAATCTGGGATCAAAAGTGTTCCATTTTCTGGCTTTTATGCATTCAGATCTGCCTTCCATTATTTCTCAGCACATCCTTCTACTTTAGTCAACTGTCTTTTGAAAAATATCCTAGTCACTGTCAAATCTGTCAGGGTCAGCAATGACTCTATTTTGCTAAATCCAGCATTGTTTCCCAGTCCTTGTGCTTTTAGACCCAGCAGCAGCGTCGACTCAGGTGATGGCACTCCTTGTCTCTTCCTTGAAGCGCTTTACTTGGGTTAGAGGCCACTTCGCTCACCTGGTCTTTCTACCTCACCTCACTGTTTGCATTTCACTTTATCTTCCTGACATAACAGTTAAGGTCTCTGTTCAGTTCTTGGGCCTCTTTTCTCCTGTTTACACTTACTCCCTTGATGACGTCCAGTTTCAGGCCTTAAAATACGTTTATTCAGCAACTCTAGAGTCATATACCCAATTGCTTGATACTGAGACTCACCATTTCAGTGTCTCAAAGAACCTCAGATTAAACCAGTCCAAAGCCAAGTTCTTAGTATACAAGACTCCTCCCCCCAATCCTCACACATGCTCCACCCACTGTCTTCCTTATCAAGTAAGGCCAACTCCATACTTAGCTCAGGCTCAAAACCTTGGAGTGAACCTTAATCACTCTCCTTCTCTCCCATCATATTAAATCCATCAGCAAATTCTGGTGCCTCTACCTTCAACCCATACACACGGAATTTTATAATTTTTCACCATTTTCACTGGTCACCATCACCCTCACTTTCTGTACTCAGCTTTCAGGAGACAATAACCTCCTAACTAATTTCTCTGCCTCCTTGATTTCACCCTATCCCTCACAGTCTATTCTTAAAGCAGCCAAAATAATACTTTAAAAATGGAAGTCAGATGTCACACCTCTGTTCAAAACCTTATCTCCCACAGAGTATAAGCCAGTCCTCCCAAATGGCCCTATGCAATCGGGCTTCCCATTCTTTCCCTGTCTTCTTCTATATCACCTTTCCTATCATCTTCTCTCTTGTTCACTCTGCTGCAGCCCCAGTGGCCTCCAGGAGGAAGACTCTTCACCCCTCGAACCCCTTTCCCCCTGCCCCCTAGGATCTTTTCATTTATCATCCCTCTTCCTGTCAACACTTGTCTAGATTTCTACAGTTTGTGCCCTCACCTCCCTTAAATCTTTTCCCAAATGACGGCCTTTTCAAAGAGGCCTTCTCTGACGGCTCTTCTTAAAACCGCAACCCCACTTTTACTTTCCAACTGCTTTCCTGCTTTATTTTTAATCCATTACACTCTTTGCCATCCTTGCATTTTAAAATTTTACTATTTTCTGATTCTTCCCTAGTTCATGAGATAGGGAGATCTGTGTTTTGTCTACTGCTGAATCCCTAGTGTCTACAACAGTAGACAATAAATAAATGCAGACTGAATGAATCTCCTCACCTTTGTTCACGCTACGCTCTTCACTTGAAATCCCTGCTTTTTAAATTGTAAGAGTCTTTCAGAACCTGATGTTGGGGTCAGGGAAGGTAAAGAACAAGCACACAGAAAGAAGTATAGCCCCAAGACAGATAATAGCAAAGGAACACAGCACACAGCTGTTTGAAAACAGTTTGAGTCTCCAGACTCCAGATAAAGTATATTCCTTGGGACTGAAAGAACTTTCGGATGTGTCTGACAGCCAAGGCAAGGAAAATCTGAGCAAGTATGGAAAAGACTAGAGGGTGGATAATGCATTTACTTTCAAAAAGAAGAAAAAGGATTCCTTAATCTAAAGAATAATATTTTAGAATAAGTTATTAAATGGAAAGTTTGTGAACAGTGGGGAAAAAATAGGGAGATGCTTAGAGACCGAGAAAGATTTCAGTAAAAATTAGCTCAAACCACCATGATTTCCTTTTTTGATAAGATTTCTAAATTGGAAGACTGGAAAACGGCCATCAACACAATATCTAGATTTTAAGGAAGACTAACAAAATCTCCCACAATTTCATTATAGATAAAATGGTGAAATGTTGGCTACATCATTGTAGTGTTCAGTTTGTTCCCAATTAGTGGAAAAAACATTTCACAAGTAGTGAGTAAAGACTTGATGAGGAAGGAAGGTTAGACTTTAGTTTTGAATATTTCAATAATTTTAACAGTCACTCTGATGAAACCAGAAGATAGCTATCCTCTATATACTCCAGAGGAGGTTGGGAGGGATGATAAATGGAAAATAATGCCAAGATTCAAGATAATCTCATGGGTTCATTGTGGCTTTGAAACGTTTTTTAAATGATGCATCAAACTAACGTAATAGGGTAACAACATAGATTTAGGTTCAAATAGGCTTTTCTGTTAGTATCAAGGATAAGGGAAGATCTGAATTGGTTTCATATACTACCAGTTCAGTATGAACAGTGGGATGTTCCCTCAACAGATAGGCATACAAAATCTGGGCATGCTCTACTCAAAGTTGAGCATTTCTGTACACTGCTCTAATCAGGCCATGTCTAAAGTAGTGTGCTCAGTGGAAGCTAACCTAGGTGTCAAGAAGTCTTTCTGCAATAATTAACTAAGAAAGAGCTGAGGGTAAAAAAAGGATTTCAGCTTGCAGAATAGATTAGAATGACTGTAAAGCTTTCCAAATTCCTCAAAATGACCACATATGATGCTCCAGGGTTGCGAGGCACGCTAAGCAGAGAGCTGTTTACTAGTGTGATCCGTTACCCTCGTAGCCAGCGCATACCCCAGGGCTCCAGGGCAGGTGGGAAAGGGTCGGGCGCCTCGGCCAAAGGATATTCTGGAAAACTTGTCGAGAGTCCAGAGGGATCCAGCGCTCACGGACGCGCCTCGAGGACGGCCGAGACCGAGGGCAGGCCCCACCTCTCCAGGCGCCCTGCGACCCTCAGGGTTTGGTCCTCTGGCGGGGACTCCCGCGCCTAGCCCGGCGCTGGACACACCCAGGGACCGCCTCCGCAGGGCGCGGCCGCGCGCTCCTTGAACTCGGACGTCGGGCCCCGGGGCCGCGCCCGCTCCGTAACCGTAACCGCCCGCGACACGGCAGGCCGCTGGGCGTGGCCTCGCCACGCTCTGCGCGCGCCCCGGGAAGGCGAGACTCTGCCTGCCAACCGAGGGCGTCACGGTTTGGACGCGCGACCGGCCGCCACCAGCCCCGCCCTGGCTGCGGACCTAAGAGAGCAGGAGCCTCGCTTGCCCCATTTCGGACCCGCCCTGGGGAGCCCTTCATGGTTCCATAAAATTCTCAACTCTCCAGTTTCGAATGGGCCTCGATAGTTCCCCCGTTATTCCAGAGCCCCGGACCCTCTCAGAGGTCGAGATACTGCTCCCTAGTAAGCACCCCTCCATCCCAGTCTGCTCCGCCCAGCGCCCAGGCCCCTTCACCTGTAGAAGGCCGTGTTGACCCTCTTTTCGCTAGGGAAGCCCAGCATCCCGCAGACCACGTGGCTGTTATGGGCGCTCCACCCTTTGTCACACACTTGCGACCATCCGTCGGGAAGCCTGACTTCGACCAGTCCCTCGGTCACTGGCAGGGGCCGCCTGCCCCTCCCCACGGCCGGCGGCCGAAGTCGCACCTCCTCCACTTGCAGGTGCTGTTCTACCTGGGGATGGAACCACAGGCAGAGGACAGAGTCTCAGTACCGACTTTTTATTTGCCCTGCTACTTTTAAGGAACCCTGATCGGTGTGATTGCTGTGAAGGCAGTGGCGAGCAGGGGCTGACACAGCGCTCTCTGTTGAGAAGACTTTCCTGCAAGCACGAGAGTGGAAGGACATGTCGTGCTCTGAGAGGCGATTGAGGGTGCTGAGCAAGCTGAGGAAGGAGAGCCAAGGTGGCCCGGAGCACAAAGGAGAGTTCACAGAGGGAGTGGCACTGAAGTAGGAGAGAATAAGAAGGGAGATGTTCCAGGAGAGCAGGAACCTCTGACGAGATGGAGAGCAAGAGATGCCCTGGGGACCAGGGATGAAGTTGGAGAGACGCCCGCCGGCTTTAGTAACTTGAATGCTAATGCTAAAACAACCCTGGGCTTTCATATGCCTAGGAGCTCTATCATTTGTCCCCACCCCCTCAGCCTCACAGCGACCCAAAATATCCCATGGGCATATTGGATCCCCTACCTTCCAGTATCCCCTCTAACCACATATAACCACCCCACAGCCCTCTCTGGCCCTTCTGGGTGTGGTGTGTGTGTGTGTGGTGTGGTGTGTGTGTGTGTGTGTGTGTGTGTGTGTGTACGAACTGCAGACCTCAATGACATTAGAATCCGAGAAGCCGGGGAGGCGCTGGTCCTTGCAGATGACTCCGGCATCCTCATCATGGGTACAGTCACTGTTCCCCCAGCCCCGGGAGGCACACTCAGTCACACTCTGCTCAGTCCCACTGCAGCTCAGGTTGTCCAGCCAGATGCGGCCTGTGGAGGGAGAGATGAGGGGATAGAGAGGCTTGTGGAGGCAGGATGGAGGAGTAGGGTAAGTGGTGGGGATTTGCGGGAGGGTGACCATGGAGGCCTCACACCTGGCTTGATGATCTTGTTTTTCTGTTTATATAATGGGATGTGAAAGAGACAGGAGACCCTGGAAGGGAATAGGGAAGGGAATACAGGATTGATGGAGGGTCAGTGGTGATCTGGGGATACTCAAGAATTTGGTAGGGTGAATAAAAACCTGAGAGTCAACACTGAAATTCTGATCAGTCCTGACCTATTCAATGATAGCCACAGTTAACCAAGTATGTGTTGTGTTAGGCACTCTGCCATGTATGTATAGACATGATTATTCTTAGAGCTGCCAGAGGCGTTATCACCATTTTTATATAAAGAAATTTGGGTTCAGAGAAGTTAAGTAACCTGTCTAAGACCACCCAGCCAATACATGGGGGCTTCAGGGTTTGAGCCATTTGTGAGACTTAGAAATCTAAGATCCTTTCATTTCAGCCTCACTTTCTCCCATGGGTCTTCCCTGTCTGTGTTACTACATTGCCCCTTGGTTTTCTCTCTGCCTGGACCATCCTGAAATGAGTATTACTGACTTCTCAGAGTTGGGATGGATCCAATTTCCCCCGCCCCCAAAGGCCATGGGATTCTACCTAATGGGACTGTCTGTCCCAGTCAATGGCCAGGGCCTATCATGTATATCCTGACAGGACTTCTCCAGCTTCTGCTGGGATACCTACTTCCTGCCCCACCAGGCCATTGGAACCATCACAAAGTCCTTGTGACTCTCCATGACTGTCCTCCAAGGTCTGATTCAGTCCTTCGATGCCATTCAGAAAAATCCCTCAGTTAAATGACTGTCCTCATATTTGGAGACAACCTTCATGTAATTGCTTTCCAAAGCTTTTTCTTTTCATACCAAACATCCCTGGTTTCTTCAGCTATTCCCTCTTGAAACTTGGCTTCCAATCTTTCACATCTGGGCAGCTCTCCTCTGAAAGTATTTCCATTTTCTACTCTCTCTCTCTCTTTTAAAGTAGGCTCCATGCCCAGCAGGACCTTGAACTCATGGGCTTGAACTCATGACCCCAAGATCAAGACCTGAACTGAGATTAAGAGTTGGACGCTTGACCGACTGAGCCACCCAGGTGTCCTACTGTCTCTCTTTAAACTTGGCACCTCCAAGTGACACTTTATTCCAGAAGTGGTCCAGCCAGTAGGAAGTGGGGGATTAGCTGCAGACTGCACCAGCTTCTGTCCATCAGTCCCACTGTGGGCTCATACAATGTAAGCATCCTCAGGTCTCAGAATTCCTCCTGAGTCACTACTACCCACACTCATTCTTGTCTTATATTTACTCTTAGTTCCAGCTTGTTGGTTGCAGCTCTTGCCTATAATCTGATTTGGTCAGCTGCAGTTATCTGTGATTCTTTCTGGCTTTGGGAAAACCAGACATCATTTATCTGCTCTCAGCTTTCCATCAAACCAACTGTACTCTGACTGCACAGGGCTCACCTGTATCAGGGCTGTCCTTGCATGTGGCTTTGTAGAATCATACTTTTGCAGAAAGAAGGAACTTAGAGATCATCTAGTCATTTTGCGTATAGGGCCTCTGAAGTTCAGAGAAGGCACTGACCAGCTTAAGGTCCACAGGTCTGGGAAGTAACTGTGTTGGTTGGTTTGTCACCCATGGGTTTACTTGACACTATTTTGGGTGTACCAGGTCCCTGTGCCTGTGCCATCCTGACGCTCCCTCTCCTTGCATTAAGGCAATACCTAGGCCATGCATGGAGCATTGCTCACCTGTTCCAGGGCCATATTTGGCACTGTGGGTCCAGCCCGTGGCCTCTGTGAAGCCCAGCTCTCTGCAGAGGACGTGGGCAGCCTGAAGTGTGAAGTCGTCATCGCAGATGGTGCCCCACTCGCCAGCTCTCTGTATCTCCACTCGGCCCTCAAAGGGCTTCCTGGGGAAGCCGGCCAGCCGGAACCGCAGCCCCTGGCTCCCAGCCCTCTTCTCGGGGGCCGTGGATGGGGATGGAGATCCCAGGCATGAGCTGCACAGCACACAGAGCAGCAGCCCCCATGGGCTCCGCTGCCAGACACTGACAGGTCGCATGGCAGGGAAGGCCTGGGTGCCCCAGAGAGAGAGTGTGTAAGAGAAATCACAGATGAAGTCAGGCCTGGGTCCCAGAGAGAGGTCATGATTGGAAGAGAAATCCTGAATAACGACAGAGTCAGAGACAGTGTGAGAGAAAGACAGGGACCCGTGGACTAAGTGAGAAAGAAACACAAACTAAACAAGAGCAAAAACACAGTGAGAGAGGTGCAGACTGGGAAGGGACAGAGACAGAGACCCAGAGATAGAGTCTCTCCCTCCCTTTTGTACAGAGTAAAACAGTCACCATCGGTTGTTCTGTCCTACAATGTCCTTTCCTAGTTCTGTCATTGGCACCTCCATCACCCCCACCCACTGGTCTAAGAGACCCAGAGATCAAAAGAGAGTGAGTAGAGACCAAGAGGCAGAGAATGATCCAAAGAAAGAGAGAAGACTGAGCAAGAGGGAGACCCAGACAGGATGTGAGAGGAAGGAAGCGGTGGGAACGAAGTGGGAACAAAGCGGGAGCAAACAGAGACAGCAGAGAGAGACAGTGTGAAAGAAGGATAGAAGGTGATCGTGAGAGAGCCAGGTACACAGAGCAATGGAGAGGGGCTGGCGGGAGGCAAGAAGGACCCAGATGATTCCATTCAGCCACTGGGAGAGGGCAGACAGCTACTGATTGTGGTGAGAAGCTGGCAAGGGGGTTTAGGAGAACCTCAGATCTTAGTTAGGCTCCTGAATGGGAGCCAAGCCCAGAGCCCCGTCTGGCCAGATTCCAAGGCAGAGAGGGCAGAGACCAGAATGTATGGAGAATCCCCTGCACACCCTACCCAGCACACAGGCTCTCACATGCCCTGCAGGGTCAAGGGACCCAGGAGGGCCAGGCCTCAAGCTGGGAGGGGAGTGAGGTGGGGTTGTCCAGACCTCCTGCCAACACTGCCATCGCTGTCACTGGGCAACGGGAGGCCAGGGCGCCAATCGGCTCCTCAGCCAAGGCCTTCCCTCTGTCTGGGGCTGAGAACAGCCCCTCTTCAGCAAGAGGCCCCCTGAACATGCTTCCCCCAACTCAGACAAACAACACAACAGGACAGCTTTGTTCTGGGGACATTCTGGCTTGGGAGCCCAGTGGTAGGGCCTCACAGAGGAGCCTCCAGCCTTAGGGCCCTCACGGCTGCCCTATTTGGAACATCCTGCCCCCCCCCCCCCCCCCCCCCCCCCGCCAAATATCTGCCTCCTCTCTCCACTCTTCTGTTTCCCTCTTCTTTAACAATGATAAAACCCTCAGTGGGTTGGGTTCCCCTCAACCCCATCCCGCATCACCCCTTTTCGTGGTCCCTCCACCATCCTCCCATCCGAAACTCCCCTTCTTTCCGCAGCAGCGTGACTCCCCCTACCTTGGCTGAGCGGGGCCCTAGGGGCTGGGAGAAGAGTCCAGGTCCTGGAGATCAGTCCTAGGACTTCCCAAAAAAAGCGCTCGGCCAGGGGAGACTGGACCCCCCCCTTTTTCCCCCCCTCTTCTTTCGTCCCTCCCATGTCCCCTTGAGCCCTCCCACATTCCGCCCTCTCCCTAGATTCCTCCCAGGCCAGTTCCCTCCTCTTCTCCTTTTGGTCCTCCCCTCCCCCGTGGAGCTGGCCGCGGCCGCTCCACCTCCCTCCACCCCCGACCGCCGACCCTCCCGGCCTGCTCAATGAAGCTTTCTTTTCCCGCGGGTTGGAGGCCCGGCAGCTGCGGTCAATGAGCTGGACACACAAGAGGCCAGGGGGCCGCGGACCGGCGCGAACGGCGGACCCTGGGGCGGCGGGAGGCCGCGGCTAAAATCCGGGCTCCGGGAAGCCTTCCAGTCCCCAGCCCCCATCCCTTCCCCCAAGTCCCGGTCTCCGCAGAGTGTAAACAGCCCGACTCCAACCGGGCTGGGGGAGGGTCCAGTCAGGGAAACGCAGGCGATGAAGGCCCACAAAGTTCCCCCGGTGCCCCGGAGTGCCCACTGGCGTTTTCGGAGTGACGTCACGGCCTTCACTCTGATGTCACGTTGAGCATATGACGTCGTACGCAACTCTTAAGCCCAGGCGCGCCAGAGCCCTCTGGTCGAAACCGCGAGCTTTCCTTTGGTGGAGCCGCTTGTGCGCGTCCCAGAGCTGTGGGCAGGGGTCTAAAAGTGGTGCAGGCCAACTTATCTGGGGTCCCCCTCCCTTTTCTTCGTGCTTCTCTCCTGGCTTCCCCTGCGCGGTCCGCGGAGGCCGGGGGAGGGGTGGGCACGCCTCCGGAGGCCCGGCCCCGCCCCCTCCCCGCCCCTTGCCCGCAGGGCCAGGAAGCGCGGAAGGAACAGCCGGGGGCCATGGACGGGGCTGTGATGGAAGGGCCGCTCTTTTTGCAAAGTCAGCGTTTCGGTACCAAGGTAGTCGGGGGCAGGGGTTGTCGAATCCCATCATACCTAGGGGTGGGCTGGAGACCCCAGAGAGAGGGAGGGGGCGGCAGCGGGTTGGATGGAGCGCGGACCCGAAGCTATAGAGCCCTATGACGTTCCCGCAAAGTTGATTTCACACTGCGGAGGAGCGGCGGCCGGCCTCGGGGTCCGCCCTTTCTGGTCCTGGGGAGACGGAGGGTCATCCTTCTCGGTAAACTTGGCCGCCCGTGGGGAAGCTTCGGACCCGAAATCGGCCTGCGCTGGTTCTCTCCTTTCCCGTCGGGGCCCCGACAGCGGGTGCTCGCCGGCTCCCTCCCCAGCGTCTCTTGCTCTCTCTCCCCAGAGATGGAGGAAGACCTGGGCCGTACTCTATCCTGCCAGTCCCCACGGCGTAGCGCGGCTCGAGTTCTTTGACCACAAAGGGTCGGGCGCTGGAGGGGGCCGTGGGGGCTCGCGCCGCCTGGACTGCAAGGTGATCCGTCTGGCAGAATGTGTGAGCGTGGCCCCAGTGGCTGTGGAGAGCCCCCCTGAGCCCGGCGCTTCAGCTTTCCGCCTCGACACTGCGCAGCGCTCCCATCTGTTGGCGGCGGACGCTCCGTCCAGCGCCGCCTGGGTGCAAACACTGTGCCGAAACGCCTTTCCGGTGAGGGGGTCGGAGTTGCCCTCGAGGGGTTGGGGCAAAATGCACCGGGGCCAAGAGGCGATGCGGGGTGGGGGCAGTTACAGCCGTAGAGGGCCTGAGCTGGCTTGGACCCTGGGAACAGCGTGGAGGGAATTGCGGGGTCCTCGATACTGTCTTTCTCTTTACTCCAGAAAGGCAGTTGGGCTCTGGTGCCTGCTGAGAACCCACCCAAGCTTTCTGCCTTGGAGATGCTGGAGAACTCGCTGTATAGCCCCACCTGGGAAGGTAGATGCCTGAGAGGCCCTGGCAGGGATGGGGTGGAAAGGAAGGGTGGCCTTGGGAAGGGAGTGATTAAATGGTCAGGGACCCATGGGGAAGTAGGAAGCTCCTTAAGCTGGTTTCCAAGTGAATGTTTGGACAACCTGTTCCCCGCTTCCCCAGCCCCCTCACCCACCAGTGAGGTCAGGTGCCAGTCTAATTGTGTATTCCTTACAGGATCCCAGTTCTGGGTAACAGTGCAGAGGACTGAAGCTGCTGAGCGCTGTGGCCTGCATGGCTCCTATGTGCTGAGGGTGGAGGCGGATAAGCTGACTCTCCTGACTGTAGGGGCCCAGAGTCAGATACTGGAGCCACTCCTTTCCTGGCCTTACATTCTGTTGCGCCGCTATGGCCGGGACAAGGTGCGGTGGGGGGGGTGGGGGGTGGGAGGGGCTGTTGGGGAGCACTGACTTCCTGGGTCGGGCTAGCTGTGGGGTGGGGCAGGACAGGAAGGTAGGAAGCCCTGTCCTTAGGATAACCCTTCCATGTCTATCCCAAGATCCTTCCTCCATCCCCGGGTAGGCTTTAAAATTTTTTAAAAAAAATGTTTGTTTATTCTTAGAGAGAGTGCAAGATTAGGTGAGGGGCAGAGAAAGATACAGAATCTAAAGCAGGCTCTAAGCTGTCAGCACAGAGCCTGATGCGGGGCTCGAACCCACAAACTATGAGATCATGACCTGAGCCGAAGTCAGATGCTTAACTGACTGAGCCACCCAGGTGCCCCTTCCTCCCCCCAGGTAGTCTTTTTTTTGTGGATCCCCTAACTAGGTCAGGCCCTGTGACTCATCTCCTCTTATGGCTCCTGGTAATGTTTCCCTCTATGCTTTCTTCAGGTCATGTTCTCTTTTGAGGCTGGCCGCCGCTGCCCTTCAGGCCCCGGAACCTTCACCTTCCAGACAGCACAGGGAAATGACATCTTTCAGGCGGTTGAGACTGCTATTCACCGGCAGAAGGTCCAGGGAAAGGATGGTCAAGGGCAGGACAGTCTCAGAGCTGATTCCCACGAAGGAGAAGCGGCAGAGGGGAAGTTGGTGTCCCTTCCTGGCCCTCAGGAGCTCCCGGGCACCCCTCCGGTCCTATATGCTGAACCCTTAGACTCATTGCGCATTCCTCCAGGCCCTTCCCAGGATTCCTTATACTCAGACCCCCTGGACAGCACCTCTGCTCTGGCAGGAGAGGGGGCACAGTTAAAGAAACCTCTTTACTGGGACTTGTACCAGCATGTGCAGCAGCAGTTGCTGAAGACCAAGCTGACGGACCCCAAAGAAGACCCCATCTATGATGAACCCGAAGGCCTGGCCCCAGCTGCTCTCCGGGAGCTTTATGATCTGCCTCAGGAGCCCAAGGATGCGTGGTGGTGCCAGGCTCGGGTGAAGGAGGAGGGCTATGAGCTCCCTTACAACCCTGCCACTGATGACTATGAAGTGCCGCCTCCTCGGAGCACAAAGCCCCTCCCAGCTCCTAAGCCCCGGGGCCTTGCAGCTGGCAGTGGAGGCGCTGGCAGTGCTGCTGGTGGCGGTGGCAGGGGCCACAGCTCAGACACTGCCCTGTACAGCCAGGTCCAGAAGAGTGGTGGTACCCCAGGGAGCTGGGACTGTGGACTGTCTGGGGCTGGGGCTGACGGGACTAGGGCCAAGGCAGAGAGCTCCACATGAGAGGGCGAAACTGGGGATGCTGTGGGAGGACCACAGGGAGGTGGCACAGGGGATCAAAGACACCTGTTAGAACCTGCAGGAACCAGAGGGCTGGAAGGTCCTGTGTGAGCCAGCCCAGGGCACCAGGGGGAAGAGGGGAGTGAAGGGGAGGATGATCAATCTCAAGAAGTCCTGGAAGTGGGACAGATGGCAGGGGTGAGGGATAGGACTTGGGAGAGACCAGCACCCCTAAGTCATTCTCCTGAAAGGAATGGACAGCAGCTGGACCAGATCTATGAAGAGGGGTGCTTGCTCTGAGTTGGTGTAGTTGGAGGGGCCTGCGTGGAGGCTACAGGGAGCTGCTGAACTGTGTCTGGATCCTGACCCCTGCGTTGTTCTTTGCCAGAGACGTAGATTTTAAAAAGTTTATTCTTATTAAACAGTTTGGGTTTAAGAAGTCTATGTGTGTGAATAGTCACAGAGGGGCCACAGCGGCAGGGGTGCTGGGTGGGTGTGGAGGGGGTCGCAGGGAGGTGAGTGGAGCGGTGTGGTGTTTGAGAGCCTGGGTGTTCTAGTCAGGCCCACGTGGGCTTGAGCCTGTCTCTGTGATACTGGGCAAGTTGTATAACATCTGTAACCCTCAGTTTCCCTCAATGCCCCCTGTAAAGTGGGAAAACCCAGCGACAGACTCTACCTCACAGGTTTTGTATGAAAGGAGTTAAATTTCTCAAGTACTTAGTGCAACCTGAATCACAAATTAAGCATTTTATAAATGGTATTATTCTGTGGAGTGAGAGGGCCAATGGAAGGGTGGACAGGGGTGCCTGGGTGGCTCAGTTAGGTGTCTGACTCTTGGTTTTGGCTCAGGTCATGATCTCAACATTCATGAGATCAAATCGTTCGTTGGGCTCTGTGCTGACAGTGCTGACCCTGCTTGGGATTCTCTCTCTCTCTCTTTCAAAAGAAAAAGAAAAGAAAAGAAAAGAAAAGTGGACAGTCCTAGCAAGAGAGAAACTGGAAGGGAACAGGTCTTTTCTACACCGTTTTCCTTTTCTGTTCTCAGTTATATGACACCACTTGTACACACACACACACACACACACACACACTTTGTCTGTAGGTATCAGCACCAACCACTTTTCTGTCTGAGGGCTGAGGGGAACGGCAATGTGGTGGGTGTAGCGGGAAGAATGCAGGCTTTGGAATGAGGCTTCGATTTCAATCCTACTTCTTTTCATGAGCTCTAAAATCCTTGTCCTTGTCTCCTGATGTCCAGTTTCCCGAAGGTGACCTGACCTCATCTTCTGTTTATGGGGAACAAAAGGAGAAATTTGGGCTGGGAATGCTCCTAACAATGGTGGAGACTTACTGGGTATTTAATCTTCATCTGTGTTAACAGTATCGAATGATCCAAAAGAAAATGAGTTCCTGCTGGGAGAAGGAAAAAGTTCAGGTGTGTCTGTTCTGGGCCTGAGCAGTGGGGCGGCAGCAGCACTGAAGACAGAGGCGGGGAAGGCTCTGTTTCCCAGTCACCTGGAGCTCACAGAGGCTCAGGTGGAGAGAAGGCAAGTCTGACCACAGAACGCCATGCACTGCATGCGCCTTAGTGTGGATGTGGTGGAGCAGGGCAGCCAGGCCCTGGCACTGGTGACTTAGGACTCAGAGGGTTACTCCTCCTCTTCCTGCTCCTCCACTTCTCTCTCCCTGGCAGGCCAGAAGAAGGCTTCTGAGGAAGGCTTGCTGGCTGCTGGCAGCTTGGGGGCTCTGCCAGAGGTTGGAGTCATAGGCAGGGGGGCCACTGTGGCTCGAACGCGGTTTGTCTGCAACTGCCCAGCCTGCAAAGAAAGCAGAGACTTCTCTGAGGCCCACACATGGTTCCTGATCACCTGTCCTGTTCCTTGTTGGGCCTCCTGTCCTGACTCCTTCACATATGCCGTCCCTTAAGTGATGGCCTCAAGGTCGAGGGCAGTGGAGTTCCCTGCCCGGTGTCCACAGTGCCCATCTGCTGGCTGAGTGTCCCTTCTCCGTTAGCTTGTACACCAGCTAATTTGTGGTGGGCTCAGCTCCCATCTCTAGACTGACCGTAGTTTGGAAAGGTCTTTCTCTTGTAACTTCAGCTAAGGCAAAGCAGGAGTTCCTAAAGGCTCTGTTACTGAGAAATTAGGAAAAGATTAAGAATTTATATTCTATATAAATATAGTAGAATATAAATTTCATAAAAAATAACCCCATCCTTGATTACTCTTCTTTTTAACCCTTATTGTTAAAGCCTGGACTCCAACGTACTAAGCCTCCTTTTCCTCATCTGTACAGTGAACGTAACACTTACCTTGCAGGGTTGCTGTAGGGATTAAACAAAAAAGATATATGTGAGAGCACTTGTCACAAAACCTGGCAAGTGGCTGGTGTTCAGTAATGCTAATTTCCTTTCCTTTGGACATTTCTTTTTCCACCTTCCAGTCAGCCTTTTCTTTAAACAGAAACTGTGCTCTCAGTGCTGCCAATTTGCTTAGTGGGATAGTGGTCTGTTAAATGACTAATGAATTATCACATGTGCACAGTGAAGATACCTAAACATGACTATATGTAAGTGCCCAGGCAGAAAAGCCTCCCTACAGGCAGGGGTTGTAATTTCCTTGGTCCAGAGCAAAGGGCTGTTCTTTTTCTTCTTCCCCTGTTGGCCTGGTTTTCCCCTCACCAGGGGAGGGGGACTGCTCACTGGGATGGGGGAGCCGGGGAAAGGGGAGGAGGGCTCTCTTGGATTCCGGGCAAAAAGAGGAGGAGGGAGGAGGGAGGGAGCTGTACCTTTCTCAAGGCCCGGCTTTCCCAGCGTGGCTGGAGCCTCCCCTGAGACTTGGTCAGGGTGCTTCTCAAGTGTGAGTACAGGTGGCTCCAAGCCTGCAGAGGGTTGTAGGTGGGCTCTAGCTCCAGGCTGTCCAGCACCCTCTGTGGAAAAGAGAAGAGGAGCCCCACCCAGGGAGCTGGAGGTCACAGAACACAGGGCATCAGCTAGAGACCTTGGAGTGTGAGAGGCTTGAGAATGTGTGAAGACCTGGGGTTTCACTGAAGGCTGAAATGGATGAGGGTCCCGCTGCTAGTCCTGGCTCCCAGGTCTGAGTGCTTGTGACATACATGTCAGGCAAGAGTGCAACAAGTAGGTACAATCATGAGTGGCTAGGGACACTAAATACTCAGGCCCTGAGAAGTGTGTCATGTGATCCTGAGAGGGGCGGGAAGGTCAAGGTCACAAGGGATCCAGGGTGCGGGCTGTGAGGGAGGGCGTGTCGCAGGCCTGGGGCAGCTCACGGTCGCAGGCCCAGTACAGAGAGTTCTCTGCCTGCTAGGTGAGCGGAGCTGGAGGGCACACAGGCACAGCATTCCTGAGCAGTCAGGTTTTCCGGCCACAACATCCTGTGCCAGGAACCACTGGCTCCGAAGTGAGACGCTGAGCCAGCCATGGCCACTCGTGCCCACCTCTTTTTGCATCCCGGTGGCCGCCAAGGCAAGAACACAATCCCAGGCTCTGTCCTCCCTGCACGTAAGCCAGTGATCCAGCAGCGGTGTGGCTCCAGTTCTCCCTGCCCAGAGCCCCTCCTCCTGCCCTCAGCCAGGGGAGGCTGGCAGAGGAAATCCAGTATCCAGATCCAAGGACGACAAGAGGAGAAGGGGGGGAGAAGGAGGGAGAAGGGGAGAGGAGGGGGGAGAAGGGAAGAGGAGGAAGAGGGGAGAAGGGGGGAGGGGGGAGGAGGAGAGGGAGGAGGGGGAAAATGGTGGCAGTGCAGTTTCCTCCATTACATGGGAGACTCATTTTGAAGCCCTTCCTATCCTTAATGCCTACACTGCCTCTTCCTCTTTTTCTCAACAAACAGAAACACATGCACACACACAAAGCAGAGAAAGACACCATCACACAGACACACATCACTTTACTTCCCTCCATCTGGCCTCAGTTCCTACCTTTGCTTTCTTCTCTGACCCTTCACCACCTTCTTGGGAAAAACTGCTCCTCCCTCCGCTCCCCAGTCCTTTCTCTTACAGGCTCACTCCTCTCCCTCATCCTCTTCTCCAACTCCCAACTCCTCTCTCCCTCCTGTCTGCCCCATGAGATCTGAGCTCCACTTGCCTCCACAGTCTGAAGGCTGACATCAGGTGGGTCCTCAGGCAGCAGGGGGAAGGGGCTGGGCAGCAACAGTTCCCGAGTGGCCACCGCCTTCACCAGCAGAGTGGGGGAGCGTGATGGCACAATGACATAGAAAGTGCTGGGGGGTGCCCTCAGGCTGTGTCCTCCACTCAGGGGCTCTGCTTTGGCCAACAGCAGCCATTCTCTTTTCTGCAACGAGGACATATATAAATGTTGGTTCACCTTCAGTCTTTGGCATGTTTTGAAGATCTATCTCAATCAAGGCTTCCCCATGTTATTCTGGGGGTGTCAGAGAGGCTTGAACCATTTTTCTCTGGTCCTGGGAGACAGGGACTTCCTACCTGAGTTGCCCCAAGGGAGTGCTCTCCCTTCCTGGTTAAAATTGCACACAAAATGTCTCACAATGTAGAGACAAGTTAAGAGATGCCCTTTATTATTATTTTTAAATGTTTATTTATTTATTTTGAGAGAGAGAGAGAATGACTGGGGGAGGGGCAGAGAGAGGGGGACAGAGGATCCAAAGTGGGGCTCTGCACTGACAGCAGCCAGCTCAGTGCAGGGTTTGAACCTATGAACCTGTGAGAGCATGACCTGAGCTGAAGTCAGATGCTCAACCAACTGAGCAACTCGGGGACCCCAAGATTTACAATTCTTAAAAACAGAGTCCTGAAACAGAGACTTGTGTGGGCTGTTGTGAAAATTCAGGCCTTGTTTAGAGGGTGACAAAATGTGCTTGTGTTGCATGACTGAGATTGGAGTCGGCTGGTTAGGGAATACCTGTAGAATACCCAGAAAGGGTTTAAGAAGGTGATCAAAGTGAAAGGAGGAGAGAGCAGGGAGAGAAAAGCTTAGGTACAAAGAGGCCAATGGAAGCAGGGTCCTTGAGAGTAACACAGCCAGTCACAGGACAAAAAGAAGGCTCAGAATTCCGGTGACTGTGAGTGAAAGGTCCTGCAGAACAGAGGGAGTGACTCTTTGCCATGTGCTGTGGGTCAGGAGAAGAGACACACAGACATATTAGCAGATTTTCTAGGTGTGCCCTTAAAAAAATATGTTTTTACATTTACTTATTATTGAGAGACAGAGTACAGACAGGGGAGGGGCAGAGAGAGGAGACACAGAATCCAAAGCAGTCTCCAGGCTCTGAGCAAGCTGGCAGCACAGAGCCCGATGTAGGGCTTGAACCCACAAACCTTGAGATCATGACCTGAGCTGAAGTCAAATGCTCAAATGACCAAGCCACTCAGGTGCCCCACAGGTGTGCCCTTTTAAATCAGGCATGGGGCTAAGGCAATTTTCTGTGGTAGTTTTTCAAGGAAAACCACAAAACTCCAAGAAATGTGAAGTCAGAACTGTTACAATCATCTGCAAATTGTGCCCTCTTGCTTGAGGGATCAGTACTTCCACCTGGCACAAATGTAACAGCCTCTCTGCAGCAGATGAAAGCAAGCACGTTAGCTCTACTCACTCTAACTGATACAAAGAATTGGAAGAATATGAGAGGAAAAGCAAATGGGGGAAAGATTTTATAGGGATAGAGGAATATCAGGAATATCATGTCTTGTGGAAGACATGTGGAAAGTGATATAGTGAAGCACAAAAAAAAAAACCCTGCTGTAGCATTAGAGTTACACCCTAGGGGGAATGTGCTGGGGTGGAGGTAGTGCAGAAGGTTCCAGACACTTAAAAGCAGTGTCATCATTTTGTGCAGCACAGAACTCTGAGGAGATCTGGTAGGCGGGGCAGGTGGTAGGTACCTTCAGAAGTTTATGCTTTCTTAACATTTTGCTCATATCTGGGGTTGCCCGGGTGGCTCAGTTGGTTAAGCGTCCAACTTCTGTCACGTCTTGATCTTGCAGCTTGTGAGTTCGCGCCTCAAGTTGGGCTCTGTGCTGACACTCAGAGCCTGGAGCCCTCTTCAGATTCTGTGTCTCCCTCTCTCTCTGCCCCTTCCCTGCTTGTGCTCTCTCTCTCTCAAAGATAAGTAAACACTAAAAAATTAAAAGACCCAGAAAACCAAAAACATTTTGCTTATATCTGGAAATGTGCTGTCTTCTTGAAGAACAGATCCAAAATGTGATGGAAAGCCTACCTGATCCTTCTCAAATCCATTACATTGTAAATAGATGATGTTGAAATTATGGTGTGTGTGTGTGTGTGTGTGTGTGTGTAGAGGGGGGATTTGTCCTGCTCTGAGGACATGGCCTCTTTAAGCCTGGAAGGAATGTTCTCTGGAAGGGAAGATGGCAGGGCCCTCCATTTCAATTGATTCAAGTAACTTCTGATGTGGATCAGACTTGGGTTATTACTATTATTTTAATCTATTTTTATGCTGGTTCATGCATTTGTTTGTGAATTAGTTTGTTTATTTATTAAGAATGTATTGGGTGGCTGTTATGTCCCGAGCACTAGGCATGAATACGTAGGAATTCATCAGACATGTTTCTTGCCCTTTGGAAGTTTATAATAAAGGAAGATTTGTAAATTAACGTTTGTCCAATACTTAGGATGACCAACTGTCCTGGTTTGACTATTTTTAGTATTGAAAGTCCTACATCCCAGAAAGCCCCCCGATCCTGGGCAAAATGGTGTGGTTGGTCACCCTTCCAAGATTCCACAGAGAACAGAATATCTTGCCACTGTGGCAAGTCACTGGGGGCTAAAACTATGGCAATGTAACATTTCTTAAAAAAAATTTTTTTTAAAGCAATGTGACATTTCTTATACTTCAGTGTTATGGAACAAATTCATGACTGCTACATTGTGAGAATACTGAGAAACTTTGCGGGGAACCTGTGTGTGGCTCAGTCGGTTAAGTTTCCAACTTTGCCTCAGGTCACGATCTCATGGCTTGTGAGTCTGATCCCGCAGGCTCAGGTCATGATATCACAGCTTGGGCTCATGAGTTCCAGCCCTGTATCAGGCTCTGTGCTGACAGCTCAGAGCCTGGAGCCTGGTTCAGATTCTGTGTCTCCCTCTCTCTCTGACACTCCCCCACTCACATTGTCTCTGTCTCTCAAAAATAAATAAACATTAAAAAATTTAAAAAAAGAGGGACCGGTGGATGGCTCAGTTGGCTAAGCATCCTACTTCAGCTCAGGTCATGATCTCACAGCTCGTAAGTTCGAGCCCTGCATAGCACTCTATGCTGACAGCTCAGAGCCTGGAGCCTGCTTCCGACTCTGTGTCTCCCTCTCTTTCTGCCCTTTTCCCTCTTGTGATGTCTCTTTCAAAAATAAATAAAATATAAAAAATTTTTAAAAAAGAAACTTTGAATGTTGTACACAGAAAAATTATGATCCTTAAAATTTGAGCCTATTGATTTTGAGACAACAGCTAAGATTCTATTATAGAACTGGTATACAGAATTGACTGAGATCTCTCAAAACTAACTCCTTTTTGTTTAAGCTTATTTATTTATTGTTGAGAGACAGAGTATAAGCATGAGAGAGTCAGAGAGAGAGGGAGACAGAGAATCCCAACCAGGCTCCATGCTGTCAGTGCAGAGCCTCACATGGGGCTCATACTCATGAACCATGAGATCATGATCTGAGCTGAAATCAAGAGACAGACCCTTAACCAACTGAGCCACCCAGGTGCCTCTCAAAAGTAACTCCTGATGTGCGGGTTATCAGAGAACTAGGAAGAGATTGAGTTGAAAGTATTTTACAGACAGCTTTAAGACTTCTGGGCTGATTTAAAAAGAGGTTAGAATAAGGCTCTGGAAAGAAGAGAAGCAAATTAATTTATTAGAATTTGGTAAAGATATTATTTTATCTGTAATTCTCAGGGGCATTTGGAGGAAAGTTGAACTTTAAGACCCTCATTTTTGACTCTGAGTTTCTAACCTCTTCCTGGGCAGTAGTTAATGGCACTAGAGGTCTGAAGTCTAGGACCCAAGCTTGAACATATTACCCAGGTCATGGGTTGACTTGTAGGTACAGGCAGTTGTACCTGTGATGGAAATGGTTAACTGCCATGGTAGGTAGGCAAAGTTGAGAAAGGACATGAGCATGTCCCAGAAGACTAGCTTTTGGGACCTCAAATTGAACAATGCTTAATGACTGCTAATTCTCTTTTTTTTAAGATTTCATTTTTAAGTAATCTCTATACCCAACACGGGGCTCAAACTCACAATCCCAAGATCAAGAATCTCATGCTATACTGATTGAGCCACCCAGGTGCCCCTTTGCAAATTCCAAAGAAAGGAGAATGAGTTAAATGGTGAATTTATCAGAAGGCAGATGAAAATGTGTCTGCTTTTATGATATGTTTGCTACAGAAGGTACTAGGGAGTTTAGATTTTAGGAGGTGGGGACTGATTCTATTTAGAATGGGTATGGACAGGGGCAGAGTGGAAGGGCATGCCATGCTGCAAGCTCATTCTCTCCCACCTCTGCCCTAACTTCTTTTTTTTTTTTAATTTTTTTATTTATTTCTAGGAGAGAGAGAGACAGCGTGAGCAGGGGAGGGTCAGAGAGAGAGGGGGACACAGACTCTGAAATAAGCTCCAGGCTCTGAGCTGGCAGTCAGCACAGAGCCCAATGTGGGGCTCGAACCCACGAACCCCGAGATCATGACCTAAGCGAAAGTTGGACGCTTAACCGACTAAGCCACCCAGGTGCCCCCTTAACTTCTAATTTCTAGGGCTGTGAAGGAAGGCATAACCACTGCTTGTTGACTGGCCACTACTCCCTCACCCCTCTCTTTTCTCCCTACACATTTCTCAGTCTTTCAGTGATTGGTCTGGGGTGACATGTGACCTAGATTTAAATAATGAGACATAAGCAGAAGTTGCTGTGTGGGCCTTCTGGAAAAACTTTCTAATATGCTGGCAGGCTTTTTGCCTCTTTACCCTATTCCTTCATTCTCCCTGGAACAGGATTGGTCTTAAGGTGTAATAGCCACATGAGGAACAGGCATAAGGATGAAGTACATTTGCCATGGATGCTGCAGTGGAAAAATGCAAAGATCCTGCTCCTTGATGGTATCATTGATTAACTGTATCGGTCTCAGAATTGTCTGTCCCCATTACTTCTTGTTACATTAGAAAAATAAACTCTTAATTACTCAAGTTAAAGTTGGATTCATTTTCTGTTAGCTGTAGCCAAAGAGATTCTTTATAGACGGCAAAGAAAAGGAAGAGGATGTGGCTAATGAGGAGATAGAAGTAGGAGGGACAAGTTTAA